CGGGCTCGAAATGTCCCCGATTTCTGGTGATGTTAAAGGATACCGGTAGCGGCCAATTCCTATGATTGTAAATGTTAACGTCGAATTGAACAAAAGAACAAAGACTAATTTCTATTTACCACCCACCAAACGAGCCGGCTCGGATCGTCTGCTACGCGCGTGTTCGTTATACTTCGGTCTCTCATCCACTGCCGAGCCAAACAAGTCATTAGACATATGCATCTTCAAAAGTGGCCCTGTATTCGACTGTATTGTGTACGTGCTTCTGTTTCGCATATACCTTGCTTTCCTTTTAAAGAACGGATGTAGATACAATTTGTTTGTTGCCTAGTACATAGTTCTAATTTATCAAATCATACAAAGCCACCAGTAAAACGATTCCGACTGCAAATTTGGCCATCATCGAATACAGGAGCCCTTCGTAAATTGCGACTGTTCCAATTCTTCATACAGCAGTGGTTCAATATGGTGTGCGCCGAAAATGATTAATACCGAGATTTTTTCTATTTACATTAAACTGACTTCTACAGTAAAAAACTACACTAAGAAAACCACAATGCTTTCCATCCCATGCTAAAAATAGCTTAAATGAAATTGACGTTCCCCGGCCAACGTTCTGATTTCTCCCCTTCTGTCCCATAATTTTCTCTCGAAGCTACGTAATCTTCTCGCAAGTATTGGACAATTTTTCCTCGTATAAATATAGCAGCGCGGTGAACGCTGTGAATTTTATAGAGGGGCAGACTACTCACATCTTAAACTTTGCGAATATAACTTCCGAAGAGCACGATGCTCGACGAGTTTGCAAGAAAATTTCGAAAGATATCTGAAGTCTCCCGTAACCGGGTAAATTAGAACGTTAGCCTTTCGTCGGCTATCACATAACTAGTATCGTTTCCACGTGTGGGGTTCATTGAGATCCAAAATTAAAAGTGTTTTTCTTCCGTTGTCGCTGAGCGCGCTATACTGAAAGTACTGCTACAATATCAGAGGGTGACTTTGCAAAACTGCGTACTCAGGACCTCTCGCTCCAGGGGGTGGGGAGATGAGAGACCTTAGGAACTAGGTTGAACGTTGCACTGTTTTACGCGAATGGTAACCAACATCGCCTTGCACGAGGATAGAGCGTGATTGAAAGTGGCGTGATGGTGGTGTGAAGTATTATGCATTATAGTATTCTGCGCTGTTATATAATTGATCCAAAAAACCTCCATTTGTTTTACATTGCTTCTTATAATATCTTCGCTCTGATACATGGTAACAAATCGCATTACGATTGTACCCTTGGATACACTTTCTTCGGCTCCGCTACAAGAAATAATATGATTAAGTTTCTTGGTAGAAAAATCGAACTGTTTCTCTCGACACTGGTATAATATCAAGATACTGCGTGCAATAAATATTTCCTAACAATCAGTACCTGTTGTACTCGTTGAATTTCAACCCTGCAGACAAATGAGAAATCCAAATAACATTCGTTTAAAACTTACATCAAAACAAACCCAACAAAAAGTTTGTTTTCTTTGTGTTTTCTTTGTGTTTTTCCATGACAAAACATGGTTTCTACTGAAATATTGCTCATGTAGAAAAATTATGCAAAAGAAGACCTGTCTTTAAATTAAATAATGTAAATCAACTAGCTTTCAGCCGTGACATACAGAAAAACCGAGTACCGCCTGCTTCTTTTATTTTTTCGGTTCTGTCCTGGTGTACCGGTTTACAAGGGAATTACCATTGTTCTTTCTTTTTTCAGGAGTCATCGGTTAGCTCCTGTGTATTGTTTGGTCTTTAGTATTGGCTCTTGTGAACCGGTACACGAGGACAGAACCATTTTTTCGCACATCATGGGTTTGATATTTATGATCTTCCTTACACTTTTGGAACTAACCGCAGGCGTCTTTAACTTACGGCTGCTACTGAGTTGTTTCAAAGACAAAACAAAATACACGTTTCTTCAAAGAGGCAGAATGTTTCTCGTTGTTCAGTGGATTTGCCAAGTTACAATTCTCGTCGCTGACGCCGTAGAATCGTGGAAAGGATTTGCAAGTTATCAGCTCGAAGAAAGCTGTAGTATCTTCAGGGTCCTGTCACTCTCTTTGATGTTCTTTCAAGCCTGTAATTTGATGGCGATAATAACTATCTTTTATGAAACCCCAGTGAAGAGTGGGAACCCAGAGTTTTCAACCAGATTCAAAATATATGCCGTCCTTGCTCTGGGACTCACTGGCTCAGTAACAATATGGTGGTACAACTGCTTTTCCTCACAGAATCTTTCTCGTATGGCCCTGAAAGCCATTCTTTTTGCTTCAGTCATTTTTGTCATTGTACTGGTTTCGGCGACAGGGAATATAAATATTCAAGACACGCCAACAGACGAGACTAAACCAGAAGCTTCGGTGGCGAATATCTTTTCAGAAAAAAGATATGTTTTCTTAGTCACTTTGTTAATAATATGCTTAATAACAATCTTAAGCTGGGAACCTCATTCCGAGTCAATCCCTAATAATTATAAACCTAAAGATTTTGAGGAACAGATTGTATTGAAGGAAGTTCTGTATTCATTGATTGAAACGTTCGTTGTTGGAATATTTCTACCGGTAATATTAACTGGTCTCATTGATTCAAATGATGAAGGAAACACTGAGATGAAAACTATTCTTATTTAGAATCGAATGAGGCGGCCGAGTTACGTATCATGAGATCGATCCTTTGAAAAGAAGCGTAACATTGTTCACTTTGTATTCGTATCCTTTGTGTGGTCATAGGTTAAAAAAAAAACATAGGCATGCTACGCATGCAGGAGTTATTTTTTTGGATACGTAGGTTGAAATGGGACACAATATAACTGATGTTGGTGTCGAATAATTGTTGGCAAAAATAAACTGCACTGGTTCAACGCTTCCTGCAGTCCCCTCCACAGCCCTAATTTGAACTTGTCACGCAACGCTATCCCTCTCTCCAACATTGCATGACGAGACTAAACAACAACCTGCTCGTGGGTTAAAATTGTGCTTATTGCCGTTCCTTCGTCAGAGACAAAGTTTTAGTTATTATTCTGACCATTAAGGGTCAGAATTAGAAATTCTGTTTGGTTTTTCCTGTGCAAGAAAATGCACAATAGCGTGCAGTTTTTAATTGGCGTAAAGTAATATGGTGGCATATCCAGGGAACGAGGTTGAGTTTTGGCATCGAGTGTTAGTCAGATTTGAAGTACTGGCCGCGCATCAACGATAAGCTTGTTACAGTTTATACTCATCTTTCGAGTGAACTTAAATATATTTATTTAAAGTACAAATCTAATACTGTGAATCACTACTATTGTTAACGTACTGATGAAAACAACAACCCTTGGGAACAGTAATACAACCATCTTATGTAAACGTNCCCCTTATCTTTATCCTCCAGCATGTTGTGCATAGGATCAGGGACTTCATGCTTTAGCTCTTCTTCCAGCAACTTAAGTTCTGCCCTTGGGGTTGTTGTAAGGGTTTTTTAGATTTCTGCAACATAATCTGTTCAAAAGACAATCTACTTTAGTAGTTTTGTAGTATTAAATGAGGACGATTTGGTATTATGTTCATTATATTCATGCATTGATGTATTTAGAGATTGATAGCATACCATAGTTTGATGCCACTTTGGCTTCCCTTACTGTCGCTTGTCGCTCTTTAAATTTTAGGTATTTGACATGTAGAATAGGCTTTCCCTCGTCATCAACTTTGGTCGCCCTCTTTACACTGTAATTAAAATGTAGTGCGGCCATTATTATTCTATTAAAGTAGAGAAGAAATGTACATCATAAGCACATCACAAATTGTGATTAGAACAGAAAATATTTTTATAACTGCAAACTACCATTTTGAGGATGCCAGGATACAACGTCTCCACTTAAATTTGTTTGACAAGTGCGAAGAATGTCATGAAGAGACCAGCTCTTGACTGTTCTGGACTGTTCTGGACTGTTACACAGTCTCAGTCTTTTGGCCTTCTTCAGGTTGAAAAAAAATAAAAAATTATTATTTATAGATCCAACTTACAATGTACCAATTTTCACTAACAGCTGGCCTGGAATCTTATTGTTCAGCTTGTGATGCTTTTATTTAAAATTACTATTAAGTTAACAACTGCTTAAGAATTTCAAACATGGTACTACTAACCTACACAGCATTCCTAGGTAGGAATAAGAATACATTTTCGGGGCAAATTGATTCACCACAGAATGGTAGCCCTCTAGGCAGCTGGTTTGCTCAACTGAGGAGGTCTTTTTAATAGCTTTGGTTAATGATGACTTGTGAAGGGCTGCATATAATTTCTCATATGCCTCTGACACTAATGAGATTAAAAGAAATTATTCTGATAAATCACTAAGAAACATAACAGTTTTGCAAATATCATAAAACTGATGTGCTAATAAAAGGTTATATTTCTGTTAGGGTTTGGCAATTTTAATGAACAAAATGTACAACAAAAATAAGAGCATCACTAAAGCTCAACCAGCTCAGTCTGTGACTAGAGCCTATGACAATACATAATTGTTTTCCTATATACCTTTGGTCATCCATACACGTGGAGTTGTGATGATTCCATGTGCACAAGCATTGAATGCTGGGTTAGGAAGACCTGTGTGTTTGTTGAGGACATGTGANGTTCTTCCCTGATGTCTTTTCCTTCCATGTGTGGCCTAAAAGGCAATAAAAAGAAACATTTCTTAATTACATGAAATAAACTGTAAGAGTGATTGCATGTATGTGTTATTAAAAATAGAATAAATTGTTATTGCAAATATAAAGCCCTTTTTTTTATTCAGTTCTCTGGGGTTTTTTTTATAGATACTTTTGGTCAGTTAATCAATGTGCTAGTTACCTTGGGTTTTCATGTATTTTGCCACTGTCATCTTCACCTTTAACTTTTTGATAGTCACTATCAATTTTTTCAGGGTCCCAGGTAGGGTCATCATCATCATCATCATCATGCCAGGTAGTGCTATTGACATCAGTTGCGTCTTCATCAAAATCTTCATCCTGTTCAGTTGGTTGATCCATAGACTTTGTCAGGCTAGTATCCTCTGTTTCAACAACTGGTTCAGCTTGGATGGCTTAAATGTTACAAAAAAGTTTATAATATAAATGAGAAATTAGAAAAACGAGAAAATCAGTGTAGTGTGCCTGAAAAAAGGTAATTTCCTGGAAATTAAATTTTGTCATATTAATCAGTTTCATTTTTGACAGGACACCTGTAATCTTACCAGTATTGACCATAAAAAGACGATTCTGCTCTTGAATTCCTTTGAATGTTTGAACCCACTGCTCTTGGTTGGAGGAAAGTTCGTTCTTAAACTGGGTCACCTTAGCTTTCAGCTGAGTCAATTCTGCTTTCATTGCCCAGCATTATACCTTGCATGATTCACATGGAGTTATCTGAAAAAAAAAAATGATAATTTACATGACTACAGATCCAAACATGAGATGGAGAGAGGGGTGATAAGTTCAGATACAATACAAGTAAAATCTCTTTAGGAAATCACTCTTACTAGTCCATCATCAGCCACCAGTATCACCTCTTTGTCCTGAACTCCCTTGTCAGCCACCTGTGCCAATAACACCTCATCTGCCTGAACCTCATCAGTTCGCTGTATCACCTCTGCCTGAGCTCCATCATCGGCCACCAGCACTAACTCCTCATCCTGAACCCCCTCATCAGTCACCTGTGTCACCTCTGCCCGAGCCTCATCCACCTCAGTGGTCTGAACGCACCCAACAGCTTGCAACCCTAAGTCACCTTGCAGTTCATCATTCACCTGTATCACCTGAGTTTCCTCTAATACAACTGCTTCTGGCTCTATATTTGCATCTTGACTCTGTTCTCCCATAATCTCATTCAATAACTGTCAGGCAAAAGAGTATGAAGAAATCAACAGATGAAAACCAATTACATCAACTGAAATACGAGTGGAAAATTTTTTTTATTGGTAAGAGAGTTCATGCTCAAGAAGCCTCATCCACATATGCACATTGAAAAAAATTACAATTTCAAATAAAAACGTTCTGTGCAGATCAATTAGAAGTTTGAGCGATACATTGAGAGACCGTAGTAGTTACATGGCAATGCTGTGTCACTGTGGAACATTTTCGAAAGCGAATTATGAATATTATGAATGATACAGAAGTTTAATTGCTAAGAAAACTAGACACAAGCAGCAGTTCTAAGAAACAATTACCCCATTCACTAAAAGAATGTCCATTGAAATAGAGAACTTATCGCGCGTTTGGCAGTAAACCCGTGAAAAAGTTGTTTGCTAGCTAGTAATTTTTCACAACTGGATCTTAGGTATTTGCTGGTCTTTTGCTTTCCCTCCAAGACTGAGACTTAATTTTCCGCTTAAAGACTGTAATTCTCAACCTTAAACTACTACATAAAAGAAAAAAAAAAAA